CAATCAATATGAATATTTGATTAATCAAATTTTTAAAATACTCATTTTGATTATATCGAAAATAATTATTTTTCTTATATATTTAAATTGTACTAAACATTTACCTATCTTAAATTTCGTCTTTATATATATATATATATATATATATATATATATATATATATATATATATATATATATATATATATATATATAAGCACACATAAACACTCAGGGCCAGTCCTGGCCATGTATGGCTAGGGCGACCACACAGGGTCCCAATTTTTTTTAAATATTATATATATAATTTATTATTTTTTATACATGATAATTTTTTTTTTTTTTGAATTCATAGATTGCTCTTCATTGTAATTGAAAATAAAATTTTAGAAGAATTGACATATTTGTTAAATTTTTATGCATTATATTTGGGCAAAAAATTTTAATTACATTTTTATTTTTGTTAAATAATACAATAACTTGGAGTCTAAATTAAACTATTAGATATAACCCCTATTTTTAATGGAACGGCCCTGCATACACACAGTAACAATATCTATACGCTTAATCAAATAAATAATTTCCTTAATTATTTAAGAAGTATATGTATTATATTCATTAATCAAAAACTACATAATGTTTATTATATATATATATATATATATATATATATATATATATAGTAATTGAAAAAGCTAAATCCTTTTTAAATTTACTAAAATCTTAAAATCCTAAATCCGATTTTAATTTGCCTAAAATACCTCAAATGCTAAAATAACTAATTTCCTAAAATATCTACTCCATGATCTGTAATTCCTAAATTCCTAAAATCTCTTCTCCATGATCTCTAATTCCTAAATGTCTAAAATCTCTAACTCTCATCGGCTTCAGACTCTACAACTTTACAATGAAGTGCTACGGTGAGGCGGCGACCGAAGCCGAGATTAGATTCTCTCTGGAAATATACAATGTGTGTGTATATCTCGCCGCAACCCGAGACCGAGGTTAGATTCTTTCCGAAAGTATACAATATATATATATATATATATATATATATATATATATATATATATATATATATATATATATATATATATATATATATATATATATATATATATATATATATATATATTGGTGAAATCTTATTATGAAGGCCACTATTGGATGTTTTGTTCTTCCAAATGATCCTTCTGATGTTATGAAAGCCAAAGCTTTGTAGTATAATGTACACATCAGATCACCTGTTTCCTGTTGTAGATAAAATTAAATGTGATACTTCATGTGTATACTATGAACTATATTTTCATCTCTTTTGTTTTTGTGTGTTGTTTTCTATTCCTGATACTGTGGCACAACCAAAGTAGGCAACATAATATTGTCGATGAATATAATTGGTTCAAATCTTTTCAACCAACATATGCGGACAAAAAAAAGGTCTCTGTTTTCTTTTAGATTTTAGAACAAAAAGCCTTTGATTTTGGGGGATTGTGGTGTGTGTTAATTTGTATGTAGTTTGTCTTGTGCTCAATGGCTTGGTAGTCTTGCAATTTGGGATGAAACTTGTCCAGAAATAATATCAAAAAGATTAAAGGACTCAAAATTATGCATGCCCTCTGAAAACTGTTAGCATATATTCGAATAGTCTAGCAAGGAGCAACTAAAGTTTATATTTTTTCAATATTAATGCATTATTATAATATTATTTCTCTATTCTTAGAGGGGCATTCGATTCAAATATTGAAATAGGAATGATAATAGTAATATTATTTTAAACACTAATGATTGTTAAATATATGAATGTATATGTGTAGGTATTGGAATAGGAATGATAATAATAATATTTTTTTAAACACTAATGATTGTTAAATATATGAATGTATATGTGTAGGTCTTTACATATAAGTATTATGGATAGAAGTTGGATGTCTCAAAGGCAAACTCAACGTGGTGATCTTAATCCAGATTTTATAAAAAAGATTAGAAATATTTATTGAGTTTGCATGTAGTAAACCAAATTTTAAAATAATAATTAAATATTTTTATGTTGGTACGTAGAAACTTTTATTGACACCGTTGACACTATTGTAATAAAAACAGTGTGATTATATTATATTCTGCTTATTGAGTTGATGCTTGAAATACTTTTATTATATATTATAATCTTATTTGTTTTAATTTATATTTTAATTTGTTTCTATTTTAACTAATTTTTAGGAAAAACAATTTGGTCGTCGGTCATCATATTTTGAATTATTCAAGCATACACTTACCAAAAAAAATGATGGCCAAACATTTATAGTTGAAAAAGACAAACAAATCCATGTAAGTTTATTTATCTTGATTTTCCTTTGAATGTAAATGAATTTTTATAACAATTGTACTAATTTTTTTTAATTTTTGCAGGAACAAATTGCATTGCAACGGGAGGTATTAACACAAAATGGAGAAGAAGTAATGCGAGTCACTTGTACTATGATGCAGTTGGCGGACATGATAAAAAAAGAAGAGTTTACGGACTTGGCTCATATGGTGCATTAATTCGTAGTCCAATAAATGTTAACACATCGAACAATATAGAATCAACCTCGTAGCCATCAGAGAATGCCTAATTCTGGAAAGGTCCTAGATGAGATTGAGAATTTGAAGGCTTCTACGGTTCTTAGGCAGCAAAAATTAAATGCTCTTGAGAGTGAGAGAGCTGGTACTTCATCATCACCCTCATCACGTCCGAATTCACCTTGATTTGATTTTTCTTTTATGAATTACTATATTGTTGTTTATACATTAATTTGGTATTAAGTACAACAAATTATATTGTATTTTAGTTTGAACATTAACATTTTAAATACAAATATTAGAATTTTAACAAAATAATAAAATAATTACAAAAACAATAAAATAATAATTTAGCAGAATTGCGATGAAATATAATTTTAGCAATGGAATATTCATTGAAATTATGGCGACGAAAACATTTTTGTCATCCAAAACGCGACAGAATCACGACAGTGATTAGTTCTGTTATTATTTTACGATGAAATTATGTGACAGAAAACAAATTTTGCGACGGAAAATCTAGCAATGGAATTACTACGGAAATTTGTTCCGTTATTTTCTTACGACGAATTTGTGCGACGGAAGACAAAATTTGCAATGGAAAAGTTTGCGACAGAATAGCGACGACAATTTGTTTCGTCATTTTTTTACGACGAAATTTTATGACGGAATAAAAAAGTTGCAACCGAAATGTTAGCGATGGATTCGCGACAACAATTATTTCCGTCATTATATTTCACGACAGAAATATGCAACGGAATATGAGTTTTTCGACAGAATATTTTTTCACTCAATGGCGACAGAAAGAAACATTTCCGTTGCAAAAATCGCGACGGACTCGTGACGGAATGATTTCCGTCGCCTACTTCACGACGAACAATTCCGTCACCATTTTCCGTCGCCATCGCTCGCGACGGATTATTTCCGTCACGAATTGAAATACGACAAGCCTTGAGACTACGGAATGGATTCCGTCGCGAAAATGAAAATTTCCGTCGCAAAACGTGATTTGCGACGCAATTTTGCGTTTTCGCGACGGAATTTTTCTGTTGCGAATCGCGATTTTTGTTGTAGTGTATGATGCGACTCAATTATTTATAAATGAAGACATTCCTGAAATAATTGATTTTAGGGAAAGGTAAATACTATCATTGAGTCTTCAAATTTTTCGAGTTTGTGAGTTTTTTTATTCTTAATTTCTGTTGTGTTCACTTTAGCATGTGTGGTGAGAATACTCATATGCAGAGTATTTGTTCTAATGCAAGTCTATCTGTTGCCAATACTTTTGACACATTCAACCGTGGGTCTATGATTATGAGTACAATAAGTGATGTGTATGAGAAAAGACAGGTATTTTTATTCTAAAGTCCATTACTTATTATAATATAAGCAATAGTCTTCTAGACTAACTTTTTATTTTTATTGATATCCAGTTTGGAGATTATTGGGTTGTCGCGAAGATTGTTGGAATAGAAAGTGGTTTGGACTGGTGTTATAACTCATGCAAGACACGGGGATGTAACAAGAAACTTTCCTTGAATACGAAAGGATTCTATGATTGTTACAAGTGTAAAAGAACATGGGGAGAAGGTATTTTGAGGTATAGAATTAAAGTGAGAGTTGTTGACAAGGATGGTAATGCACCATTCCTTTGATGTGACAGTGAGTGTAAGGAATTGATAGGCATGTCAGCTATAGAACTGAGAGGAAAATATCCACAGGTAATGCACAATTACTTATTAAATGTGTTTACTTTCAAAGTCTAAAGCTTACTGTACTATTAACTATATCTAATTCTTGACTTATAGGATAAACAACTATTCCCAAATGAGATTTCATCGTTGTGTTCCATGACATTGATTTTTAAGATTTCCGTGAGAAAAGAACAGTTTCAACTTCCTAATGCCTTCGCTGTTATGAAGATTATTAACGATCATTCATTGGTTGGTTCCTACTGTCCTGAATTATTGGAAAACTTTGACAGTGATCCAACTTCTAAGATGGAGTCCAATGACTGTTTTGAATTAGATGAGGTAAAATTGAAATATTTTTACCTTATCAATTCAAATTTATGTCTTAATCCTATATTAAAATTAATAAAGCTTTCTTTTTCAAGAGTTTCTTTCAGAAGGTGAGGGTGAAATCCAGTGGCCTTAATTGGGACTGCAAACGATGTTGAGGATCTAGACTCGGGGAGTTGTCAAAGCGTTGTCTATTAGATGAGTTTTCCTCAAGCAAGACCTTTTCAAAGAAACTACCAATTGAGAACAAGTTGGAGAACACATTTGATTATGCAAATTGACTTTTAAAGAAATTTTTAGTTGAATCATTGTTTTGGTGCTTCGGTTCTGGTCCCTTCAAACATTGAAGACATGTTTGGCTTTTTTTTTTTTTTTAATAAACTTTGGGGCTTTTCAAAATCCTTAATATTTAAGGATTTTGCTATCTTTTTCAGACTAATCTTTATAACGACTCTTTTAAAATCCTAGCAGGAAAGCATTTGAATAACCTAAGTTACTAAAGAAGGGTCTCCTGAAAACAAAATGTTCTAATCACAGCAACTGAATTACTGAAATGGACAGAAAAACCACAACCTTATTTGCCATATTGCACCCCAAAATTATCTAGCCATCTTTGAAGCTTTGGTTTAGCTGGCTCAGCTTCTTCAGTCAACTGCTCAATCCAGCTCAGTGTTGACTCTTTCTATGTCTTCTTGGCCTAAATTGCAATTTGAATAAGAAATATGAATACATTGATTGCTATCTCAGTTACTAAAGAAGGGTCTCCTGAAAACAAAATGTTCTAATCACAGCAACTGAATTACTGAAATGGACAGAAAAACCACAACCTTATTTGCCATATTGCACCCCAAAATTATCTAGCCATCTTTGAAGCTTTGGTTTACCTGGCTCAGCTTCTTCAGTCAACTGCTCAATCCAGCTCAGTGTTGACTCTTTCTATGTCTTCTTGGCCTAAATTGCAATTTGAATAAGAAAGATGAATACATTGATTGCTATCTCTATTCCTCCTTCCAAAGTAAAGAATAAAATAAATAGCAATTTCTTTACAAGATTAAAAGTCTCGAAGGTAAATCATGTAATTAATTAATTACAAGAGTAGAAACAAGAACTGCATCGCATTTTATTTGTATATTTCGTACAGAGAATAGAAGTGTCAGATTTTGAGAAACATTTTTTCTGGAAAGTAAAACTATGAATGTCATCATCTGCCATTTTCTTGAAAAATGGTATAAGCAACATACTCAGACACACAAATGTAGCATATATTTTGTAGGCTCAATAAAAATTGAATAGTCAAGTAGCCTAACAACTTTTACACTTTTCACAATTATTACTTAAATAATTCTGGAGTGGCCAAAATTATTGAAAAACATTTAAAAACAGTTAGCTTTAAAATAGTACAAAGTTATCACAGCAACAAAATGATATGTGGCTCAACCATTATAGCGAAAATCATTGATAGATAAAATATGGATAGAGATTGAGAGTGGTAAGGGGGAGAAGTGAGGTTTTTGGCCTGGATTTAAATTATAAAAAATTGGTTAAAGAATACAAAAAATTTCAACTTTTCATGCCAATATAGCAAGTAAAAACAATTCTAAAATATGACATCCAGTTAAACACTCTGCAAACTATTTTTTTTTTTTAACATTGTTCATACACAATTTTTGTGCAGTATGGTGATTATTGGGGTCCTGCAATAGTTGTTGGTATAGAGAGTGATCAGAATAGGTGTTATCTTTCTTGCAATTATATAAGCTCTGTAACAAAAAAATTTATACCCACGTATGTTTGAATAGATGTAAATAAATGTAATAGGAGTTGGCAAGAGGGTATTTGGAGGTATAGGTTCAAAGTAATATTTTTATGTGATTGTTAATGCACCATTCCTATTTTCGAAAATTGAATGCACTGTATTGTTCGGTTTAACAGCATCACAACTAAAGGTATCAGCTCTATTATTTTGGGTATTACCAAAAATGTGTAATGTTGGATAAGGATATTGAATAAGATTATGCATTAGCTAAGAAACAAGGATATTGAATTAAGGGTAAAATAAGATTATGCATTAGCTAAGAAACAAGGATATTCAATTAAGGGTAAAATAAGATTATGCATTAGGTAAGAAACAAAAAGCCCCAAACGGAATAGTGGTGAATGTGAACTTGAATCTGGACTGTGCAATGGTATATATGATATGAACTATTTCGGGATCTTAGAATGTACCTAGGTTTATAGACGGTGTATCTTAGTGATGTAATAAACTCAGATTATCTAAATAAAAGCATTTATATATATACAATATATAAGAAATAAAATTCAACCAGTATAGGAAATCGTAGAAACTCAGTAAACAGTTACCCAAATCCAAAAGACCTAATCCATTATTATCTTTTCAATTAGCTCCCAGACTTCACTCCGTAAGCGTTTTTAGGTGACCATAACAGTTCAAAAGAGCAGATCTGTACTCAGAAGACATGCATGATTTCGGTCTTCCCTATACAAACAATTTAGAAGAAATAAATTAACCACAAGATATTAGTCAAAGTATAGAAATGAATTTCAGCTTGAAATCAAACGAGAAAATCAGTAAATAAGCACTCAAATAAAATAGCCCTAAACCACACTTAGTTGTAGATCTCCCAGCCTTCCCTCCGTAGTCGTTCTTAGTTGAATCTGGGTTTGTAGATATCAATATCGCGAAGATAGGGTGAATCTACTAAAATCGCACATACACTGTTGCGAAGATAGGGTGAATCTACTAAAATCGCACAAATGTGACCTCAACACAAAACATATAAGGATCGTGTTCGAAATCGGAGAAATGGAGTAACTGGGATTGCTCGATCTATCTGCGACCTCAAGAATCTGCCGTTTCAAGCCTATTAGAGTGAAAGAACATAAAAGGGGATGGATTTTAGGCGTAATTTGGTGGTCCGAGCGAGAGAGATGATACAATGGTGAATGGCTGAGAATGGCGATTCTACAGCCTTCTCTCTATTTTTATTACACTAATATTACTTTATATATATATATATATATATATATATATATATATATATATTGAATCCAGTGCAACCCCCTTAATTAGGTTAGCTTGTGAGCACTAATCTTTACCATTTATTTAGATTTTATTAACGTTTCAGATTTGCCTATTGTATTTAAAATCCGTGTGCATTTGAAAGGGGAAGGGGCTTTATTGGCTTTTTTGCATCGTTTTATTTTGGTTAATTATATTGAATTGCGAATTTTTTGGTATATGTTTAGTGTTATTAGGAATCTTCCACCGTTTTACCGTTCACGTCGTTTCTTTTCCACTTTGTCGTTTCGTTCGCCGAGAGAGAGCTTCTGCTATCCGTATGGTCTCGCCGTCTGGTCAATCGCTTTGGGTTGTCCGTCCGATAGCAGGGGTTACGACGGTCTCTCTTTGCGTTTCTCATGACGGGTTCGAACTCTAAAGTGTCTAAACGACTGAGAGGGAGCTCTTCCAGTTCTACACCAGGTATCCCCTCGTCCAATTGTTCTTTATTTTTTGTTTTCTTTGTATTAAGAATTGTAGGTTTCTGTATCTGCATGTGTGGTTTTGGTAAGTTTTCTCTGCCGGTGGGTGTGTTTTCGGGGGAGTGGGTATGTGGATGGTGTGTTTGGCGGTGGGGGCGGTGGGGGGGGGGAGGGGGAAGGGTTGGGATTGTCGGCGGTTTTGTGGCTTTTGCAGGTTTTTTTTTTAATTTATTTAAATTTTTGTATTCTGTTTCAGTGTTTGTGAGGGATGTGCTCGGTTTCGAATTGCTTTTTTTTTTGGTGATTTCTTTGTGATCGAGATGTGCTCGATTTCGAATTGTTTTTTTTTTTTTTTTTTTTTTTTTTTGCGAATATTGCATGTGTGTTTTTGGGTTGTGTTGTCTTCGGCGGGGTTGGGTTTTTGCTAGGGGGTTTTCGTCGGTGAGTTCGGCTGGGGGTGGCTGTAGGGTTGTTGTGATGGGCTATTTGTTAGCTGTTTTAGTTTTTTTTTTGTTTTGTTTTTAAATTTTTGTTATATGTCTCAGTAGGGGGGTGGTGTGGTGGTGGCGGGGTTCGTGAGCTTAGAGGTGGTTGACAGGGGGTCCTTGTTTGCACGCTGGTGGGGGTAGACATTTTTGTATTAAGTTTCATATTTTTGTTGGTATATAGTTTGCAACGTGTAGGTGTTGTGTGTTTTTTTTTTTTTTGGTTGTCTGTGGTTTTTGTTTAACGGTTTTGGTAGATACACACTACTCTACGTTTATTAATTCGATGCTTAAGGTTTGGGGTCTGTCACGGGGCTGGAAGTTTTGTGCGTTTTTGTTGTAAGGCCTGTGCATTTCGAACTTGTTTTCTTCTTGCTTATTCTGTTTGTTGTGTTAAATTTTGTGGGAGTTCTAATAATTGGTTATAGTTATTGGTGGAGTGTTGTTATGTTTTTTTGTGGGCTGTTTTTTTATGTTTGTTATGTTTTATTCGTTTGGCGTTGTTTTCTCACAATGTGGTATGTTATTTGTCTATATTTAGGTCAGTGCATCATGGTATATAGTCTGTGCGTTTGCATTAAATTTGGCTCGTGCATCGGCGGCAGGTTGTTGGATAGGTTTAGGTGTGGGCGTAATGGGTTTATGGTCTATGCGTAGGATTTTTCTATTTGATTCATGGTGTCCTGAAATTGAGTTCTATGTGTTACGGTGCGATTCTTATTCGTTATATTCTTTTAGGCCAGATAGCGTATGTGGGTGTTTGTTTCCATCTTTGTTGTGTCGTGGATGGGGTAGTAATGTTATTGTGATTGGATTTGTTAGCTGGATTGATGTGATGCTTAAAGTTTATGTGTGTGCGTCACCAATTTACAGTATGTGCGTTGGAATTATGATTAGCATCTTCATGGCTGCTATATTGTCTATAGTTAGGAGTGTGCGGCGTGGTTGTATACTTTGTGCATACGATGTGTTGTGCTCTTATTTTGGTATTTGTGTTAATGATTTGTTGGTACCAAGTGACGTTGCTGTTGAGTCCGCGGTTGTTGAAGCTGTTGTACCACCCTTGCCACCACCCCCCGTTGATGTGGAATTACCCGCTCGCCTCGACCAATAGGTGTCGGATTCCGAGGACTTAGATGATGGTGTTGACGCAGTCGACGATTCAATATTTCCCTCCTTAAGATCCGGGCGGCTCCGAAACACCTGGTGAATCCCATTAAGCGATTTAGTGCTCGGCAAAAGAGAGTTGTCGTTGAGCTGGGGTTAGGGGAACTCTTGAATTTATGGACCCCTGACATTCCTAAGTGAATGGCGAGGTGGTTGCTATCTAATTTCGACCTCGTGGACATGTATGTATATTTTATGTCTCCGAAGGTCTGATTTCTTTTAGTCTGTTCGGGGTGTTTGATTAGTTTGTCCATGGTATTTGATCCCCGTACTCTTGACATATTCTCCTGTTTCTAGTCACTAAGTTTCTACTACTACATCGGGTTATATAACGTGGTCTATTTTATTCTGATAAGAAGCAATTCATTTCTTAAATTATTGTTTGTGCTTACACATTTACTGCTGTGTGCGTTTGCTGTCATTTATAATCATTGTTGATTTGTGTTTAGTTATAATTTGATTTCAGTATTCATTTGGAGAGAAATATGTAGTTGTCATTTCAAGCTCTAACTTATGCCATGTTCTGTATTAATTGGTATTGGTACCTCACGCTTACACATTTATTGGTACTTACTGTTCATGTGTTTCGCTGCTAGCACTCATCCTAGTGTTCGTTAGATGTCCATTTTTTTTAGTAGAAGTTTGTGCGTATCACTGTACCGGCGTATGCGTATGCCTGTGTTGATCAACGAAGTTTAGTTTAATGTAATTATAAATTAATTTCTCTATTACTTTGGAAATAACTATTCAATTCACTATTTAATCTATATCTAATAAGGTGGTTTGTACTAGTGTTTCGTGTTAGCTTACGTTGACGCTGTTATGGGTACTAACTAATCATGAGTTGGCTGCTCATATTCCTATTATTATTTGTAATATGCATAAGTAACAAAATATAAATGTTTGTGTGTGTATAGCAACCACCGTGTGCATACTTCTGTTCATTATGGGATGCATTCTCCAGTTTGTGCAATTTGCATTGGTAGTGTTCCTGTGATGCACAAAGTAATAAACATCATTTTAATGGTATAACAGAATTCACATGTTACAAGCTTCCCACTATTATTTTTCTGTTGTGTACGCACCCACTCCCACATCAAGGTCATTCAATTACAAAACCACTCTAAATTCATTCATGTCAATCCACACACTGACCATATCAAAACCCCACAATTATCCCTTCACATTTTGTTTGAAACGAAAAATTTTAAAAACAGATACCCCGTACTACCTTCACATACATTCGCACACGCCACCGATGACAAATGCACCTACCGATAAAAAAACGCACACAACAACAACTAAACGCACAAACCCTTAATCTGTTACTCTCAAACAACTTTAACACCATGCACCCTACACCATCACACTTTACGTCAACCAAGCAGGCACAGACTACCTATGACCATTCACCACTGCCACTCAATCATTTTATAACGTACGGTTCACCACTCTCTGCCTCTCACGCACACGCCAACACAAGCCAATGCACAAACCACTGAAAAAACGCCTCACTAATCATTTAATATTTAGTTCAATAATCCTAGGGGAGAAAAACAAATGCAAAAATAATATCACCACCACCAACCCCACACATTATGAAGCTAGTATGCACATACCCGTTTTCGTCGTATCTTCTAACATCACAATCGACAACTTATGCTACCACTACCACCATTAAAATTCCTTTACCTAACGCCATGGACCCATTCCAGAACTCACGCACACACCTACCATTCTACCTTGGTTGTATGACGTTCCATTTATAATAAACAAAAACAACTCAAACCAGAAAATTGTACAAACCACACCACACTACTCACATATCGTAATAGCTAGAAAAGCTTCCCGTTCTTGATCTTCGCCGCTGCTTCCACGATAACTCTCACTCTTCTGTCAATGCGTTTTATTCCACAACCCTTACCCACGCAACTAAAAAGGTACAGCACATGTCGTAAAATATGTTTGAATATATTTTTCCAATCAAATACTCCTAAATATAATCCAAAAGATTCCAATTCAAATCTATCCATAATTAATCATATAACTACAATTACATTTTAATCCTTTTGATTTTAATATATCCTTATTTACTTTATTATTATCTTCTAATATCCACCATTCATGTTGAATCAATCAATGGCTATTAGGTGATCTCATGATTTCATATATAATAGGGGGTGCACCGGATTCGCAGCCTATATATATATATATATATATATATATATATATATATATATATATATATATATATATAGGTTGTCCATCTCTAATGCAATACACGTGTATAGATTACTGTATATATATTTAGTGTTGTAATTTATTTTCTTTAAATTCTGAATATTTTGAAGTATAATTTAATTATGTTCTTATACATTTTAAAATTCAAATATTCTGAAAATGATAATTTATAACGGACAGGAAATATTTCATCTGAGCATCTTCGTATTAACGGACAAGAATTTTTAGATATATTTATTGATCTAAAAGTAAATCTCATATATTTTCAGATCTGTATATACCCAAACATATTAATACAAAAATTTGTCATATTTAGAAACATAAGAACTAAACAGTTAAGTATCATCATAAATGGAAATCAATTAGTCTATCTCATGAATTACCGGTAAAATCATCTGATCTTGATAATGTATCTGAAAAAAAAAATTAGTACAGAGATCAAACTAGGTCAGTACGTGTTTTTTTTTTTTTGATTCAATTTGCAATTTAAATATAATTTTCTAATTATTATTTACTCCTGTATAAAAATAATAAATTAAGTATGCTGTGAATTAGTGCATTTTTAGAAAGTTGAGCAATGGTACAAACTTTAAAAATGAAGTCAAC